CGAACACAGGTCCAGGCCATCATCAGCCCAACTACCAGTAACAACCCCCATAACAGCAACATCAGCAGGGACCTGAGTACAGATTTTATCCATCCCCCAATTCCTAACCAGTCTGCTAGACCGTCTAGACCGAAAAATCCCACATCCTTGTTGACCTTCTCTGTATGCTTGATCAAATCGTGAATCTGGCGGTGTATGGCTGCCGAATGGTCCTTCAAGTCCATGCAGCACATGCCGTCAAAGTCCTGACACCCACGTCCGTGAGCAAGAAGCAGGAAATCAATAGCGGCATGGTTTTGCAGTACAGCATGTTGTACCTGGGTTAAATCATCTGACAACTCACTAAGCACAACACTAGTTGCATTTGCTTGCTTGACTGCCCAGCATGCAAGGCGTTCGATGTTTCTGTGGGCTCGGGCGGCTGATATCCCAGGACCGAAGAAAGACGCCACTATCACTTCCCAATCACTCCATAGGTCAACATCATCATTGCCATTACTACTTACAGTAACTCTTGTACTTCGTCGCCTAACTGCCATTTTCCTGCTCCCAGGAGGGCCATGCGGCCATATCATACTAAGGCGACCGATTGTGCATGGTCCTCCCATAGGCTGGGCCGGAACACCAGCCCAGGCTCGATTTCCGTATATAAGAAAATATCCGGGAGGAAGTTTACGAGGCAGGGCATTACCTTTAACCTCAGGGACTGACCCGGCACACCAGTTTTCCCAATCAGATCTACGGGGGCGGTATTATTAGATAAACGCATTAGCCAAGGCAGTGGCACCGCCTCGGCGCTGGTATTCAAAACAGCACAAGCAGAAGCATTAAGAGAATCTAGCAACTCTAACTCTTGCGGCGGGTTATCCATATCGTTCATGCCGTGAACCCATTGGTCGAATTTCAATATTACGCTAGACATGTTGTTATAGTCACAGTATTGGCTACTCTCGTTCTTACAAATATCATCATAGTGAGACGCAAAAACCGCAGCTTCACTGTCGTTAAGCAGGACCCCCACCAAACAGGTCACGAAAGGTGTACTGGGTGTCGCCAAGCTTGCACAAAAGTGTGTAGTATTTAGCTCTCTGGCTAATGTTACCCATATATTTTGTCGAGGGTCGAACAGCCGTGGGTGAAGTAACGAGGCCCCGCTGTGGACTCAAAGCCATTCTGCCTCCTGAGCGGCAACGAAGACACTTGGGGATTAATGGTTCCCAGCAAGTTCTGCAAAGGAACTATTTGAGCTAATCTACTACCTTTAACAATAGTTACCAGTGGAGTCAATGTACACTACCATCTCGATTACCCTTTCCGAATCCGAATCAATAATCCCAGGGACCACAAAGACACTAGACATTCCTGTAGAAGATCGTCCTAATACCAACCCCCCAACGCTCTCCTCTGGCCAAGGCAGGCCCTTAAATTGCGATGGAACCCGCACGAGGGAGGTATCCTGCAAGCACACATTTACTGCGGCTGCCAGGTCGATGCCCAGGCTGCCCCTTGCGGAGGGCAGCCAGGACCTCCGCTTCCCGCTACTGTTGTCCTCGCGCGGCTGGGATTCCCGCTCTTCTTCCCGTTTCCCGAACGGCACGCTGCTGGGGCATGGGTGTTGCTCTGGCAGCGGGGACACCACACCCGCTCCTCACTGCAATTTTTCCGGATATGACCCTTTCTCCCACACCTAAAGCACTTAGGGCCGTTCACATTTTCCCTTTTTCCTTGAATTCCTTTCCGGCCCACCAAAGGCTGCAGCGCAGCGGCCAGGATACGAGATGCTTTGGCTTGCTGAGCCACTGAATCAAGCAATGCCTGCTCTACCTGGGCTCCTAAAAATGCTCCTGGGTTTCCCACACCGCGACGGGCAACCTCTTCAAGCATTTCTTCAAGCGAGACCCCCTGTGGCAAGGTGATTAGTACGTCCCTGGTACGCTTATTAGCATTCTCAACCGCAAAGGATTGAGCTATAAGCCTCCTAGTCCTCTCATCCAGCATATCCATTTCCTCCAGGGCCTTAAGCAAGCGGTCAACGAACTCACCAAAGGATTCGTTTACACCCTGCTTAATTTCCACAAAGGAAGGACCTTTCTTTTCCTCCGGCAAGGACATGAAGGCTGACAAGGCGGTTTGCGTTACCAACCTTAACAAGATAGCTGGGTATCGCATCTGTACCTCCACACCACCGTAAGGCCCCTGTCCCAGTACTGTCTCCACCCGCAGTCCCTCCAGTGGATCTCCCTGAGGCCGCGGTATGGCACATTCCCGCGCAGCGTGGGCTGCCCATTGCCTCTCCCACAGTAATAATTGACCAGGTGTCAAAATCAACTTAGCTATCTGCTGACAATCACTAGGAAGGAGCAGATCGCTATTAAAGATGTAGGAAAGCAATTGTCTAGACGGTTCCCCTTTAACACCCCATCGCGACACCGTATCCCTTAGTTGACTCATGATTTTCCAATCAAATGGGTCCCATCTTGGGACCCGATTACCCTGGCCGTCTGGCTCGAAGGCCACCGGGCAAGCCACTCGCATGGCTGGCTCCCACTGACCCTCTAGTATCGCACCCCTAATAACACCGGACCAGCGTGATGAAACCTGCGGACCCGACACCCCACCCAAAGCTCCCGACCACCCCTCAGCGGCCCCTTCCCCGGCCGTAAGACGCAGTTGATCAATGTCCTTGGAGATCTTCTGGAACAAGCAATCTGAGGGCCAATCCCTGAAACGTTCTGGCGGTTGCTCCGATGGTCGATCTCTGGTCTCCCACGCAGGGAGCGGCGGTGCCGCGGGCTGCACTGGCGGCTCAGATGTTACAGCCGACGCAGAAGGATTCGCTTCCGATGGGGGTTCTATGGGCGGTGGCG